TAAGCTTTGTTTACAATTGTGGATTTCTTTTCAAATAACATTTATAGCATTATTGGCTATTTACAGGGTTTTCTGTGCAATGTTGGGAAGGGGATAACGTGGAAAAAAGCTGGAAAAACATGGATAAAAGCTGTAATAATATGGACAAAACCTTCAAAAAGAGGGATAAAAGCTGCAATAATAAATGAAATAAAAAGTAAAATAAAGTAAAATAAAATAAAATAAAATATATATAAAATTTTAAAATATATAAAATCGACCTTCCTGAGCCGTTTAGGGGACTCCCAGTGCTCCCAGTGGCTCCCAGCCCGGCAGTGGGAACAGCGCGAGGAGTTCCAGCCCTTTTCCCTCCGCGTGCCTCAGTTTCCCCGCGTGTCCCCATCCCAAATCCGCGCGCGGGACATTCCAGGGGATCCCAGTCCCGCTCCCGGAGCCACTTGGTGGCACTGTGGGAGAAGATTTCGCCGCTCGCTGCCGGATCCAGGAGAATTCCAGGATCATCCAGGAACACCCAGGGAAAGAGCTCCAGGATCACCGAGTCCAAGCTGTGTCCGATCCCCCCTTGGTCATCCCGAGGAATCTCCAGGAATTCCCCGGACACCTCCAGGGGTGGCCACTCCAACCCTCCCTCAGCCCCTTCCGAGGCCTTTTCCCTTTTCCAGGAGGAATTTCCCCAAATTTCCCACCCTGAGCCTCCCCTGGCACAGCTCGAGGCCGTTCCCTCTTGTCTTGTCCCCGTTCCCTGGGATCAGATCCCAAACCCTCCCTGGCAGATCCCAAATTCCCCCTGGATCCCCCTTTTCTCCAGGATCAGCTCCCTCAGGATCCTCCATTCCCTTTTCCAGCTGCTCCAGCCCCGTTCCCACCCCTGGCCCCGCTCCAGCCCCCCGGACCAGCCCCAGTTCCCATCCCAACATCCTCATTCCTCTCCTTTTGTTTCCCCTCCCTCCCCACCCCTCTCACCAAACCCGTTCTGAGCCCCGGGTGTGGCTCCGGCACCGCCTGAACCCCAACCCCGGCGGGGTAAAAATAACCAAAATCACCAAATTTACCAAAATAACCTTTCCTGCCCAGTTCCTGCCCAATTCCTGCTGGGGGTATCCATGGGAGAGGCCAGGAATTAATTCTGGAGAAAATCCTCATTAATGAGAAGAAAGCAAATAAAGATGGAGGAATTGGGTGAGGGGCGTTTCAGGGGCGTCCCCTCTGGAATTCCCGGGCCGGAATCCCAATCCTATAAAAGACGGATTCCCTGTGCTGGTTTGGATGGGATATCCAGAATTCCCAACCCTCCCCTGGCTGAGTGTCCGCAGCTGAGATCCCCCAGAACTCATCCCAAAATTCCCCACTCTGGGCCCGATCCCGGGGAATTCCGAGAGCGGCGCGCTGGGAACCCCAAATCCCCGTGGGGTGGGGGTGGTTTCTGGTTTGGGATTTCTGATTCAGAGCTGAGGCCGCTGTGGGATTCGGGGCCGTCTCGGGGGTGACGTCGGAGGTGGCACCGAGGGCTCCGTGCCCTGCGTGTCACCGACCTCAGACGAGGTGTGGGGACCTCGGCCGGGCCCCGATGGCGCTGATTGGGGACAGGTGACAGATGGGGACGGGGACAAACAGGATGAGCGGCGGGGTGAGGAGTCCTGGCGCTCCAGCCCGGAATGAGCCCCGCTGACCTCATCCCACTGCTCGTCCACATCCCGCCTGGAAAAGTGTCCCAGGACACCCCGAACCCAGGTGGGACAAATTCCACAGTCCCAGGCGGGTCCAGCCTGGCCTTGGACATTTCCAGGGATGGGGAATCCGTGGAATAACCTGAGCTAGGGAAGGATTTATCCCTAAAATCCCATCCAAACCAGCCAAGGGATTCCTGGAATGGTTTAGGGTGGAAAGAAACCTTAAATCCCAAAAAATCCCACCCCATTTCCATGGGCAGGGACCTTTCCCCTGTCCCAGGTGGGTCCAGCCTGGCCTTGGGCACTTCCAGGAGTGGGAAATCCATGGAATCACCTGGGATCCTCACAGGGAGCAATTCCTTCCCAAAATCCCACCCAAATTCCCCCCTGACCCCATTCCCTGTGTCCTGTCCCTGAAATTCCTGAGGAAAATTCCCTCTCCAGCTTCCCTGGAGGCCCTGCAGATCCTGGAGGGGCTCTGGGTTCTCCACAGGCTCAACATTCCCAACATTCCCAAAATTCCCAGCCTGGATCCACTCATGGCCTCCTCTGGACTCACTCCAACAATTCCAGGTCCCTTTTATTTTGGGAACACCAGAACCCAGCACAGAATTCCCAGGGGGATCCCACCAGAGCTGAGCAGAGGGGGAGAATCCCCTTCCTCTCCCGCCTGCCCAAATCCCTTCAGATCCAACCCAAGGAACGGGGCGGATTCTGCTCCTGGTGGGTCAGGAGAAGTTTTTTTGGGGAAAACCCAGCAGGAAAAGGGGGTTCAGCACTGCCAGGACGTGCCTGGAGCCTCGTTGCCTCATCCCGGGAATGTCACCAAGTCCCAGGGAAGCGCTCCCGAGGCCAGGGACCTTTTCCAAGGCGGATTCCCGAGGCTCCCGCGCGGCCCCAGCCCCTGGGGTGGGGATTCCAGACAGTTACAGGCCACTAAACCCCCCCTCATTTGCATAATCACCCCAAAATCCACCCCAAAATTACAGCGTCCCAAGGGTGTCATTATCGCCCAGGCGGGGCCTAATTTGCACCAGGGTAATTTAATCCAGGAAAAAAAAAAAAAGCCCAAAAATGAACGTTGGGGACAAATCCCTGGGCTGAGTGTCCCCGAGGTTATTAATTAGCCAGCGTTAATTAATTGGGCTCCTACACCTAGGGTGAGCCACGGGCGAGGCTGCGGGACGAGTTCCTGCTCTGAGGTGGCCCCCGTGATGTCCCCGTCACCTCGTCCCCCCTCCGAACCCCAAATCCAGGCTCTGGAATTTTCCAGATTTCCTCCAAGTGCTGGGAGAGTTCCTGGGGAATAAAGGAAGAGTTAATTAATTTGCCGTTCGAAGATTAAATTAAAAAATAAGGAGATTGTGAGGTAATTACAGCCCGAGGGCAGCCAGAGGAAATTCAGCATTAATCGACCTCTCAGCAGAGGTTTCTGCTTTTAGTTTTAATTAAATTCGAGTCAAGTTGAAATTAAAATAGTCCAATTAATATTAGAAGTTTTATCATGATTTTTCTCAATGAAAAGTCATCAATTGATTTCAATTTCCTTGTTCAAAAATCCATTTAAAATTCATTTAATCTTTTAGAAATGACTGTGGTTGGTTTATTTTTTACATTGGATAATATGGCCAAATACTCATTAATGAGAAGTAAAAATAAGAATAAAACTCTACAGGGGTGTCCCATGAGCCAAAATCAAGAGGATTTGGGGAATCTCACCCAGATTTTAGGGCCAAAATCTTATTCCCTTTTCCTGATCCAAACCTCAGTGACCTCAGGCTTGAAATTCCAAAGGAAATGCACAAAAAAGAGACAAAAATCCCCTCTGGAATTGTGGGACCAATTGCTTGGGTCATAAAGATCTTGATTGTCCCTGATTGCTCATCCTGAGCTCTGCTGCCATCAGCACTTAAATTTTCTTTTAATTTAATTTAATTAATTTAATTAATTTAATCTAAATATTAATTCCTATTTTCATGTGGTTTTGCAGGCGTTAAAGACATCAACTCCCACCCATAACACAAATATTTACATTAAAATCCACCCTCCTCCATTTACGCTCTGGAGCCCTTCCAGATTTCCCCAAAAAATCCGAAACGCCACCATAAAAGGATTTTACAGCCAGGATTTTCCAGGATTAGGCGGAACCGGCCTGAAGAGCCGCTGCTATTTCGGGGTGAAAATGATAGGGAAGGGTTGATAAAGCCAAATAACCCGTTTGGGACTGGGCTTGGCCCAGGATGAATCAGGACAACGTCCACGAAGGGTGGCTCCTCTCCAACCCCAACGGGGACCCTATAAAAGCAGCCCCGTCCTCCCCTCGCTCCGCACGGCTTCCCAGGAATCCCACTCGATCCCGCCGGTGACTTGGGTGAGTGGCTCCCTCGGGAATGCTCCCTGTGCCGGGAATATTCCCTTTGTTGGGAATTTTGGTGTTTCTCCGGGATTTGTGGTGGACGGGAGAGTTGTTCCCGGCGTTTTTTGGGAATGTCAAGGGGTTTCTCCCTGTTGGAATTGTTGGGTTGGGCTGTCCTTGAGGGAAGGGAATATGGGAGAAGTTCGGGGACTTCCTTGGGTGGGGGGTCAGCTCCTCGCTGGAGCAGTGGCCCCTTCTCCATGGAAATTCCGGTGTTTCCATGGGGCAGGGAGTGCTCGTGTGCCCGGGCACGTTCCGGAGGCGGGAATCGGGCACGGCGCAGCTCCCCGGGATCAGATCGGGCACGGAGGTTCCCCATAGGAGGCTTGGGGATCCCACAAGGGAGGAAGGAGGGAAGGAGGAAGCTTTGGAGGTTTCCAGACGCAGCTTTTGAGGTCTCTGCCCCAGATCTTGTCTTGGGTTGGGTTAAAGCTCCTCTCACCAGGATCACAGGGATGGATCTTGGAAACACCAAGAGGTCCTGGAATGAGGCCATGGAGATGCTCCAAGGGCTGGGGAAGGTTGGGAGAGCTGGACAGGTTCACCTGGAGAGGAGAAGCTCTGTGGAGACCTTAGAGACCTCCTTGGACAGCAGAGAGGTTGGACTGGCTCCATTTAGGGTCCACTCCAAGGAAATATTCCATGGGATAATCCCACAGGGCAGGATCTGGGGGCACCTCTTGAGTCAGCACCAGCGGGTCCCTCCCCATCACCGCATCCCCGTCACCATTCCCGCTCCGACGTCACCCAAACGCGTCAGTGGCGAAGCCAGAGGCCACTCCCCATCCCACTAAAACCCTGGAATGTGTTCCCAGCAGGGAATGCAGAGTCAGGAATTCTCCTCCCTCTTCCCAAGGGGATCCCCCAGCCCTAGGTCTGCTCCTGTCCCTTGCAGGCTCGCTCGGATCTGCAGGATGTCCCCGTTCTTGGACAGCATCGCCACCATCGTCGGCGTCTTCCAGCAGCACGCCCGGGGAGATGGGGACGGCTCCGGGCTCAGCCGCAGGAGGATGAGGGAGCTCATCCAGAGGGAATTCGCAGATTCCCTGGTGGTGAGCACTGCAGGGAAGGGCTGGGATGTGGGAATGGCAAAATCTCCACTGGAAAGGGAACGGGGAGGGTTCCACCAAAGGTTGGGTTCATTTGTGCCGGGGAAGGGAGTGGAGAACCCTGAGGGAGCTGGGGGGGCTCAGCCTGGAGGAAAGGGGGATCCAGGGGGAATTTTGGGGGATGAATTCCCACAGGTGGTGGTGAGCCCTAAAAGTGAAATTATGAGAGATGGAAGGAGAATTCCTGCGACTCTTCCCTTTTTTGCATTACTCCCCCAAGGAGCAGAAAGACAAAAATCCCCTTTTTTTTCCGGCGTGTTTTTTCCCTGCAGAAGCCACACGACCCTCAGACCATCGAGAAGATCCTGCAGTTCCTGGAGTGGGATGGGGACGGGGACATAGATTTTAACGAGTTCCTCCTCCTGGTGTTCCGGGTGGCCAAGTGCTGCTTCTGGTTCCAGCCGAGGGCCCCGTTCCTGGTGCAGAGGACAAAGCTCCCAACCGGAGGAAAATCCCTCCAGGAGCCAGAATTCAGGAGCAGAGGGAGCCGCCGGCAGCTCCAGGAGGAGGAACAAACCTGGGAGAGGAACCGTGAAGCTGAGCTGCAAGGAGACCTCAGGGTCGGGGAGGTGGAAATCTCAGAGGATGCAAGGAGGGATCAGCAGGAACGTCGCACGCGGAGCAGGAAGGATGTGGAACCACGCGGGGAGCCGATCCCTCAGGAGTACCGGGAACGGAGCCAGGAGCCGTGCGAGCAGCGGGAGAGCCGGAGAAGGCGGCAGCCCCCGGAGCCAGACAGACGGGAGGGAGAGAGGAGAGACCGGGAGGGGCTCCGGGAGGAAGAACTGGCAGACGTGAGGACGGGCAGGCAACGCCAAGAACCCCAAGCACGGCCGGACCGGTGGAGCCGCCAGGAGCCAGGGCGTGATGAAAGAACCCAGTGGCCACGAGGAGTAGATGGAGAAGGTGACAATCGGCCACGGGAACCCGAATTGGTCCGGGAAGAGAGGAGCCGCCACCGCCGGCGTGAGCTGGAACAAAGAGAGCTGGAAGGGAGAAGCTGCCGGGCGGCTGAGCTGGAATGTCCAGAGTCCAGGCGGCCACATCAGTCGTACCTGGAGGAACCGTTAGAGATTGACCTCGGGGAGTGTGGGAGAGCAGAGCCAGAGGAACGTGGCTACAGACGGAGAACAAAGCGGGAAAGAGAGCTGGAATCAGTGGAAAGGGAAAGGGAGATCCGGGAGGAGCAGGAGAGGGAAGAAAGAGATGATCGCAGAAGAAAAGGGAGAATGAGAGAGAGGAGGGTGGATCAGGAACGGGAGCTGGAGGTGGACGTGTCTGAGCGCCGCACACGGGAGACACGAGAGCGTGAAATTCGTGAGATTGAAGATGATGGAAGGAGGCGGAGAGAACCAGTGAGGTACGAAAGAGAGAGAGAGATCTCAGTGGAAGCAGCGGAAGCCGACGTCAAAGTGCGCCATGAGATCCGGGAACGAGGTGAGGAGCTGAGAAGGAGGGAACGTCCCTGTGAGCGTGAGGAGGAAGCAGAACCAGAGAGGAGAATCTCCCGGGTCAGAGAGAGGGAAGAGGCCCTGAGGGAGAGGAGAATCGATCGGCAACGGGAGCTGGAGGGCTCTGAGCGCCGGACGCGGGAAAGGGAGGATGACGTGGCCACAATCGGCCGGAGAGACACACGGGAAAGGCATGAAATTCGGGAGATTCGTGAACTTGAAGCTGATGCAAGAAGACAAAGGGAGTCAGAGAGGTACGAGAGGGAGAGAGAGATCTCAGTGACAGCAGCAGAAGCCGATATCAAAGTGCGCCGTGAGATCCGGGAAAGAGGTGAGGAGCTGAGAAGGAGGGAACGGCCCTGTGAGGGTGGAGAAGACAGAAGAATTTGCCCCAGAAGAGACAGGGAAGAGCCCCTGAGGGAGAAGAGAATAAATCGGGAGCGGGAGCTGGAGGTGGAGGTGTCTGAGCGCCGGGCACGGGAAAGGGAGGAAGATGTGGCTGTCATTGGCCGGAGAGAGACACGGGAGAGACGAGAGCGTGACATTCGTGAGGCTGAAGTGGATGACGAGAGCGTGACATTAGTGAGATTGAAGATGATGGAAGGAGACAGAGAGAATCAGTGAGGTACGAAAGGGAGAGAGAGATCTCAGTGACCGCAGCGGAAGCTGACATCAAAGTGCGCCGTGAGATCCGGGAACGGGAACCACGAGAGGAGCTGAGAAGGAGAGAACGTCCCTGTGAGGGTGAGGAGGAAGCAGAACCAGAGAGGAGAATCTCCCGGGTCAGAGAAGAGGCCGTGAGGGGTGGAGAAGACAGAAGAATTTGCCCCAGAAGAGACAGGGAAGAGCCCCTGAGGGAGAAGAGAATAAATCGGGAGCGGGAGCTGGAGGTGGAGGTGTCTGAGCGCCGGGCACGGGAAAGGGAGGAAGATGTGGCTGTCATTGGCCGGAGAGAGACACGGGAGAGACGAGAGCGTGACATTCGTGAGATTGAAGATGATGGAAGGAGACAGAGAGAATCAGTGAGGTACGAAAGGGAGAGAGAGATCTCAGTGGAAGCAGCAGAAGCCGACATCAAAGTGCGCCGTGAGATCCGGGAACGAGGTGAGGAGCTGAGATGGAGAGTGTGTCCCTGTGACCGTGAGGAGGAAGCAGAACCAGAGAGAAGAATTTCCCGGGTCAGAGAAGAGGCTGCGAGGGAGAGTAGAATAAATCGGGAGCGGGAGCTGGACGTGGTGGCCTCTGAGCGCCGGACACGGGAAAGGGAGGCAGAAGTGGCTGTCATTGGCCAGAGAGAGTCACGGGACAGACGAGAGCGTGACATTCGTGAGGCTGAAGTGGATGCCAGGAGAGAACAAGAAGTCTATGACAGGAGAAGAGAGATCTCAGCGGAAGCAGCGGAAGCCGATGTCAAAGTGCGCCGTGAGATCCGGGAACGGGAACCACGAGAGGAGCTGAGAAGGAGAGAACGTCCGTGTGAGGATGAGGAGGAAGCAGAACCAGAGAGGAGAATCTCCCGGGTCAGAGAAGAGGCTGCGAGGGAGAGGAGAATTGATTGGCAACGGGAGCTGGAGGTGGAGGCCTCTGAGCGCCGGACACGGGAAAGGGAGGAAGAAGTGGCCAGAGTCGGCCGGAGAGAGACACGGGAGAGACAAGAGCGGGACATTGACATTCGTAACATTGAAGATGATGGAAGGAGACAGAGAGAACCAGTGAGGTACGAAACGGGGCGAGAGATCTCAGTGGCAGCAGCAGAAGCCGACATCAAAGTGCGCCGTGAGATCCGGGAACGGGAACCACGAGAGGAGCTGAGAAGGAGAGAACGTCCCTGTGAGCGTGAGGAGGAAGCAGAACCAGAGAGGAGAATCTCCCGGGTCAGAGAAGAGGCCCTGAGGGAGAGGAGAATCAACCGTGAACAGGAGCTGGAGGCCTCCGAGCGCCGCAGCCGCCAGACATGGGACAGGGAGGCAGAAGTGACCATCACTGACCAGAGGGAGGCACGTGATGAGGTCAGGCTGGAGGTCCTGGAGGAAGAAGATGAGGAGGAGCTGGAGCAGGGCCAGTGTCGGTACCAGACCCTGGACGTGGACACCGGCGATCTCTGTCCCCCAGGACAGGAGGTGCCCGTCAGTGACCTCAGGGTCCGGTACCGCCCCGCTGACCCCGACGTCCGGCCCGAGGTGCGGCTGCTCCCCGAGCCCGTGGAGCCTCAGACCGTCGCCTACTTGGTGCATGTGATCCAGAACCTGGAGGACCCCAAGGCCGCCACCTACGAGATCGTGTGCCACCAGCCCGGCCAGCGGGGCCAGCCCGTGTGTGTCCGGACCTGCTCCGTGTCCCCACGGCCACCGAGCGACCGCGGGGGCCAGCCCGAGGCGCCGCCATCCAAATGCCAGGAAAACCGCGAGGTTCTGGATGAGCCCCGGGAAAGATCCGGAAAAGAGGTGAAGGACGGAGCCCTGCGGGATTCGGCTGAGCCGGAGGCTGTGAAAGGCGAGCGGGTGAAATCCAAGGAGATCCGGAAGCGCCCCGAGATCCCTGAGGTGGAGCAGGATCAGCCCCAGGGTGAGGAGCCCCAGAAGGTCCCACGGGAGCCCGGATCCGGCTGCCAGCGGAGAGAGCGCGAGGACGGCGAGGCCAAGAGCTGCGTCCCCCCGGAATGTCGGGATGCGGAGCGGAGAGACCCCGGAGAGACCCGCAGAGAGGGAGTCCAGGAGGCTCAGGAGGCTCCTGAGGAGGAACCCAGCAAGAGGAGCCCCCGGGAACCCGGCAGTTCCCAGGTTTCTCGGGAAGGTGGCACCAAGCAGGGCCAGGAGCCCCCGCAGGAGGCCCCGAGCCGCCCCAGGGATGAATCCAAGACATCCTGAGGGGAATCCACCTCTCCCTGGAGCCTCTCCAGGTCCTTTTGAGGGTCACTTCTGGCCCCCATTGCCAGCTTGGCAAGTGGTGGCCCAGCAGTGATGGACTCAAAAGGATCCCAGGGTGTCCAGTGGGGTTTGGGGGCTTTTCCCTGGAATTAATCCTCAGCAGGAAGCAAGATCCCCCCGGATCCGGAGTTTCCACCTCCCTGCCGGGTGTGTCCCTCCATATTTAATCATTTTTTCTGCTCTAATTGGAGTCCTTGGGTCCCTCTGTCCTCTTTTGCACCCTGGGGTGTCACTTCAGGTCCCCCCAGGCACAGGGCTGGGCTGCTCTCGGCTTCTGCCGTTAAACTCCAAAAAATTCCTGATTTTGGGGCCTGGAAATCCTCGAGGCTGGGGGAAAAAAAATCACCTTTTTAACCTCGATTCCAGCAGAATTCCAGCTCCAGGCCCCAGGGATTTGGAGCCACAGGGTGCTGGTGGTGGGTGGGGGATTCTCCTTCTCTTCCTTTTCCTTTTCCTTCCTTTTTACCGCATGGAAAATGGGAATAAATGGCTGATTCCTGCAGCAGCTCCGAGCGTCACTTTCCGGAGGGCTGGGAGGGTTGGGAGGGGGGCCCAGCTGGGATCAGGCATTCCCAGTTGGGATCAGGCATTCCCAGTTCCGGTCATGGAGAGTGTGTCCCTGTGACCGTGAGGAGGAAGCAGAACCAGAGAGGAGAATCTCCCGGGTCAGAGAAGAGGCCACGAGGGAGAGGAGAATTGATCGGGAGCGGGAGCTGGACGTGGTGGCTTTCCAGTTGGGATCAGGCATTCCCAGTTCAGGTCAGGCATTCCCAGTTAGGATCAGGCATTCCCAGTTCAGGTCAGGCATTCCCAGTTCAGGTCAGGCATTCCCAGTTCCGGTCACACATTCCCAGTTCAGCCCCCAAACTCCTCCTAATCCCAAATCCCACCCAATCCCCATTCTCCATTCCCACATCCCGCTCCAGGCTCCAGGGGCTCCCCAGCTGGGGACAGGACAGGATAGGAACAGGAACAGGGACAGGGACAGGGACAGGAACAGGAAGAGGAACACAGCTCCGTGACACTGACAGAGCTCAGTGATGGGGACAGGAACAGGAACAGTGACACTGGCAGGGCTCGGTGGCAATGCCAGGGACAGGAACAGTGACACTGGCAGGGCTCGGTGGCAATGCCAGGGACAGTGACACAGCTCGGTGACAATGCCAGGGGCAGTGACACAGCTGCCAGCGCTTGGTGGCAATGCCAGGGACACGCGCCAGCCATGTGGCCGCACAGATGGCAGCGTCTCCATCCCGGAGCCTCTGGGAACTGAACATCCCAAATCCCTGGGATCGGCCCTGGCACAGGGAAATGTCACCTCCCCCCTCCCGCCATGTCACCAGAGGGTTCTGAGGGGGAGGGAAAACCCAAAGGGAGCTCCCAGCTCGGGAAAATTCCCTTTGGGAGAGGTGGATTGGGGGAAAATCCCAATATTCGGGAAAAATAGGAGTTTGGGAGCAGGATACTGAGGGGAAAGGGAAAATCTGCCAAGTCCTGGAGGAATTCCCGGGATCCCAAAACTCATTCTGATCCCTGGTTTTTTAACCCCTCTCTGCTCCAGCCTCCCCCTGAATATTTTGGGATTTTCCCTTTTTCCTTCTCCAGCCTCCCCCTGAATACTTTGGGATTTTCCCTTTTTCCTTCTCCAGCCTCCCCCTGAATATTTTAGGATTTTCCCTTTTCCTGCTCCAGGCTCTCCCGGAAGACTTTTTTGAGGAAACTTCCCCCCCTTTTCCCCCAACCTCCCCGTTAAGATTTTTGGGATTTCCCCCCGCTCCCATGCCCGAGGACGACTCCAGGGATATCCCAAGCGGCAAACCGGGATGGGGCAGGATTTGGGAATGCCCGCAAAGCCCCAGACCGGGCCGGGCACATTCCAGGGGCGCGGGAGGAGCCGGCTGCCCCTGGAAACGAAAATTGCCCAACGTGTCCGGGGCTGACTCAGCCCGGGCGGGGCTCTGGAACTTTCCCCGAGCTCTTTTTTTCCTGATCCTACAACTCCAAACCGGAGCGGAGCCGCTGCGTATCCCAGCCATGGTGAGGGATTCCCGGGAATTTTGGTGGGGGGGAGAATGGATCAGGAGCGAGGGAAAAGGAGATTTTCCTGCGAAACGCCCCAAAATCGGAGTGGGAGGGGATAGGGCGTGGTCCCAAGGGAAGGAAAGAACAGGGGGAAGAAACGGAAAAATGGGGGAAAACAAGGAAAAAAGGGAAAAAATGGGTGGGGGGAGGCAGGTAAAAAACGGGCGGAAAATGGGGGGAAAACGGGGGAAAAAACAGGGCAGAAACCGGGAGGAAAATGGCAAAACCCAGGGAAAACCAGGAAAAAAACCGGGGGAAAACAGGGAAAATGGGTGAAAAACAGGGAAAACCCGGGGTGGGGTGGGGAGAAATGGGGGAAACAGGGAAAGAACGGGATTATCTCCCAGAAAAATCCGCCTGAGCCGAACCCGGCCCCTGCCACCGCCCCGCCGGATCCGCCACCTCCCCCGGGCATTTTCCAGGAGCCGCTCCCGGTCCGGGCCCGTCCCGCTGCGCCAGGGAGCGAAATCCAGGGAAAAATGCGGCGGAACGGGTCCGGCTGAGCCCTTCCCGCATCCCGAGAAAACCGGGATTGCTCTTGGAAAAGCTGGGATGGGCACAGGAGGTGCTTGCCTGCTCCCAAAAAATTCGGGGTTGCTCCTTGGCACACCTGGAATGGGCAGAGGAGGCTCCTCCAGCCCTTCCCTCATCCCAAAAAAACTGGGATTGCTCCAGGCATGGGCAGAGGAGGCTCCTCCAGCCCTTCCCTCATCCCAAAAAAACTGGGATTGCTCCTGGAATGGGTAAAGAAGGCCTTTCCCTGCTCCCAAAAAACCTGGAATCACTCCAGGCATGGGCAGAGGAGGCTCCTCCAGCCCTTCCCTCATACCAAAAAAACTGGGATTTCTCCTGGAATGGGTAAAGACGGCCTTTCCCTGCTCCCAAAAAAACTGGAATTGCTCCAGACATGGGCAGAGGAGGCTCCTCCAGCCCTTCCCTCATCCCAAAAAAACTGGAATTGCTCCTTGAATGGGTAAAGAAGGCCTTTCCCTGCTCCCAAAAAACCTGGAATTGCTCCAGGCATGGGCAGAGGAGGCTCCTCCAGCCCTTCCCTCATCCCAAAAAAACTGGGATTGCTCCTTGAATGGGTAGAGAAGGCCTTTCCCTGCTCCCAAAAACCCTGGAATCACTCCAGGCATGGGCAGAGGAGGCTCCTCCAGCCCTTCCTCATCCCAAAAAACCTGGGATTGCTCCTGGAATGGGCGGGCACAGGGGGCCTCTCCCTGCTCCCAAAAAATCCGGGATTGGCCCCGGCACACCTGGGGCGGGCAGAGGGGTGTCCCCAGCCCCCCCCCACCCCAAATCCCGGGATTTGTGCTCCCAGCCCACGGAGACGGAGCGCTGCATCGAGTCGCTGCTGGCCGTGTTCCAGCGCTACGCCGGCCGCGAGGGCGACTCCTGCACCCTCTCCAAGCGGGAATTCCGCGCCTTCATGGACACCGAGCTGGCCGCCTTCACCAAGGTCCGGGAACGGGCGGTCGTGGGATCCACGGGATGGGAGTGAGGGGATGGGATCCGTGGGATCCATGGGGTTGGGGTGGGATCCATGGGATGGGATCAGTGGGATGGATGGGATGGGATCAACAGGATCCATGGAATGGGGTGGGGATACGATCAATGGGATCCTTGGGATGGGATGGGATCAGTGCGATCCATGGGATTGGGATGGGATCCATGGGATGGGATCAGTGGGATCGATGGGATGGGATCAACGGGATCCATGGAATGGGGTGGGGATACGATCAATGGGATCCTTGGGATGGGATGGGATCAGTGCGATCCATGGGATTGGGATGGGATCCATGGGATGGGATCCATGGGATGGGATCAGTGGGATCGATGGGATGGGGTGAGGATAGGATCAGTGGGATCCTTGGGATGGGATTGATGGGATGGGATCCATGAGATCGATGGGATGGGGTGGGGATAGGATCAGTGGGATCCATGGGATTGGGATGGGATCCATGGGATGGGATCCATGGGATGAATGCAATCCATGCGATCCATAGGCTGGGATTGGATCAATGGGATCCATGGAATGGGGTGAGGATAGGATCAATGGGATCCTTGGGATGGGATGGGATCCATGAGATCAGTGGGATGGGATAGGCTCAATGGGATCCATGGAATGGGGTGGAGATGGGATCAGTGGGATCCATGGGATTGGGACGGGATCAGTGAGACAGGATCAGTGGGAACAATGGGATCAATCAGCTGGGATGGGATCAATGGGCTGTGATCGGATCAATGGGATGGGATCCATGGGAGGGATCCAGGGGGTCCCAGCCCTGGGGATGTGCCGGGATGGGGTCTGGAGCGGGATGGGATTGCGGGACCATCACTGAACGTGGCTGCTCAAGGATTTTCCATCCCAAACCATTCCCAGATTCCCTGAGCTCCCCTCCCTGCCTGGGCAGGGAATTCCCCCTCATTCCAGGCACCAATTCCCGTTTTTTCCCCCAGAACCAGAAGGACCCGGGCGTGGTGGACAGGATGATGAAGAAGCTGGACATGAACAGCGACGGGCAGCTGGATTTCCAGGAGTTCCTGAACCTCATCGGGGGCATCGCCGTGGCCTGCCACGACTCCCTGGTCCTCAAATCCCCCAAGCCCTAAATCCAGAGGCTCTGGCTCCACCCCAGAGCCCCCCGGAACGCCCCATGGAATGCTGGAAGTGAGGCAACGCTCGCATTCCCTTTTTTGCCCCTGCTTTTTTATGGATAAATAAATGGTTGAAGACCCCGAGGGACTCCGGGATCAGCGAGGGGAGGGGAAGAATCCCAAAGTGATCCTCACCTGCTCATCCGCTCGGAATTCCAGGGATTCCCTCCAGGGGTGGGGATCCAACCCTCCCTCAG